CCCCAGAGCACCTAAGTACTCCACCTGTGACAGAGAAATCTCCTCACAAGCAGTTCTCGGTGGCAGTCCTCCGGGGGTACTCTGGCAGGCTGGACACGATCTGGCCATTTGAGAAGAGCCTGGGCTAACCCAGCCTTTGGGGGCCTGCTGGGAAGTGTCAAGCGTGGGTAGAGTTAGGGAAACTAGAAAGCCTCTTTTCATGTTTGCCTAGTGATGGGCAGAAGAGATGAGACTGTTGCTTTTTCATACCTCTCCCGTGGACTCTGAAAATTAATTCCACCGTCAAGATTCCCACGCCCCAAATGGGGGTTTGGGGAGAGAAATTAAGACTTTGAAGTTGAGGAAGAATGTACAGAAAATGTTCTCTAGACAAATGCTCGACATGCAGATGTCGGAATCTGTGAGGAGAAAAGTAAAAAGGCACCCGGGAGCCATTTTGGAGAGAAAGGAAAAAGGTAGGAGTGGAAATGGCTACTTCAGCTTAGGAAAGTAAGTAGATGAATAAAATAATAAAAGGTAGTGTTAAAGCTTTGGAAGGAATTTTTTTCATTTGAGGGAGATTATGAATAATGAAATGCAAACAGTAGTTAATATGTCCGTTGGCTGGTTCATGTTTTCTTCTGGAAAATGAATAATGTGTTCTAAGAGGAACGGCCTTTCAGATTATTCTCCTTGACTGTCCTTGGGTGAGTCCCGAGTTTGGACCCCAGATTCCTTTACCAAACAAATGCTGGCCATCAGATGCTAGATGCGGAGCTGTATTTATTTCAAGGCCACAAACTTCCTAATCCCCCACGAGCTCTTCCAAATGAACCTGACAACACTGAAATTTCTAAGGAGATTTACTCCAGCTGTAGCAAATCCCTAATAATAAAAAATTTCCCCAAATGAGTCAGTCACACAGGACGTAAATGAGCCGTTCTCTGTGAAGTCAGCATGTCATTCGGTGTGTGCCCTTTATACAAAAAACCCAGCCAGAAGACCTGCTTGTCCCCAGGGCAGAGCCCAGGCAGTCCCGGGGGAGGGGGTGGGAGAGAGGGAGGGGTTAGCCACCAAATTGTAACTTGGGGTCGCTTTCCCCTCAAGCAAACCTGATAGGAAAAATCCAGTCCTTCTAAGAAGTTTAAGTAAGGGCCGGTTATTTGCTTCACAAAAGGATTCACCAGAGGGGTCCTTTAAATAACAAGCCCAGAAAGAAAATTTATAATACGATTGATGTATATGGACCTTTTTCAAAAATGTATCCCTTCACTGTGTGTGTACATAAATACGTAAGGATGTATTTGTAGCTGCCAGCATTACAAAAAAAGGATTTGGGGTGGTATATCCACTGAGTAAATGGAGGCAAGTGTACAGCTATGGCATTTGCTAGGGAGCCCAGCTTCATCGATGATTGTGTTAATCCCCTAAATTACTGCACGTGTGATTAGGCAACTAGACAGAACCCTCCCCTTCTGATGATCCAGCCAGTGAGATGTCTGGGCCTCTCTTTGTCCTTTTCGGAGAAATTGGCAACACAAAGATTGGAGATACCTGGTTATCTTTTTTAAAAATACCTTTAAGTATTTCCTGGGTGTGGGCCACGTCCCTGGCACTGTTCTAGGTGACCCAACGCTGTGACTTATTTAGTCCTCACTACACTTCTGTGAGACGGATGGTGATGATGATGATGATGGTAATTACATTTTCATCTGCTACATTATGAGAGCTGGGTTCTTCTTCTCTGCTCTCCTGCTTTGAAAAAAATCCTTTTTTCTCTTATTTTTTCTTTTATTCTACTGTGTATTGTTTTATTTGTTATTGAAGTACGGTTGACATATAATGTTATATTAGTTTCAGGTATAGGACATAATGATTTGACAACTGGATACATTCTGCAGTGCTCACCACGATGGTGCAGTTACCATCTGTCACTGTGAAAAAAAAAAATTCTTAATGGAAGCAGCTTTATTTTATATATTTGTGGCTTCTTAAGAAATGCAAGTTCATTGTAAGCGATTCAGATAATAGAAAAGAACAAAGAACGAAGTAGAAATTACCAATTTCCACCACCCATATATCTCACTACTGTTAATATTTTAGTTTATGTAGTCTTTCAGACTTTTTTCTCTTTGTATATGGCAAGAATATAGGTATTTTAACACATTCCTTTTTAAAAATCTGTTTTTTAAACTAACAAGGTAGCATGGCTATTTTCCCATAAAAACAAAATATCTAGACCTACAGCACTATCCATCTACTATAGCAGTGGAGTATTCCATTTTATAAATATACCAAAATTGATTCACCCACCCTCTGTTGTTGGACATTTAGATATGATGCTGTTTTTTATAAACAAAGCATCTGTTCACTTTTCTTATGCTTTTTTTTTTTTTTATTATATCTACACTCACAAAGATGCATATACATCTTTGTGCAGTTGTCTGATTATTTTCTTAGGAAAAATTCCTAGCAGTGGAATTGCTGGATTAAAGGGTTTGTCACATTTCTGCCAAAATGCACTCCAAAATGTTTTACCAGATGTTCATTCCACTTACACTGCACCTCTACTCACTTGCTGTGTATCTTCACCTCAGAAATGGGTGTGAGGATACGGCAAATCATGGCTAACGTTTATTAAGCAAACACTAACGACCAGGCTGAGTACTGACACTTCATATAGATTACGTTCGTCGTTTAAATCTCACAACAACCCTAGGAAAAAGTTCTAATATCCCTATTTTGCTGTCATTTTCCCCATTGCTAAGGATCAGAAAGGTTAAGTAACTTGCCTGAGGTCACCCAGCTAATAAGGCTAAACTGGGATCCAAACCTAGTTCTGTCTGCTTCTGGGATTGGCCACAGCCTGGCAGGGGGCGGGGGTTGGGAGGGGTGGATGGGACTCTTCCATCCAGGTTCATACATTCACGACTCCAGGTGAACTGGGTAATATCAGCTCACTGAACACAGCTGGCTTCTCAACAGTTGTGCACCCTGATGGGACATCACCATTACTCAGCTGAGAGTGACTGACTGCCCAACACTGCTTACCTCAGTGTGGAAATACTAAGGAGGGATTTTCCAGAAGGTTTGGGGAATTTCCTTTGAGAACAAACTAACTGTCTTTCCACTTTTGTTTTGGAAGTGAGGAAGCACATTTTCAAAATCAACGTCATCTCCCAAACCGAAATCTCAGATTCCCCCCACCCCCACTGCCTTTCTCAATCTGTGGCTATCTCTCCAGAGCTCCTGGGGTGGGGGAGATCTTGCCATCTTGGGTTCTCCAGACTAACCAGCTTCTGTGATTCTTTTGACCGTAAGATTCCAGCCCTCTGGGGTCTAAGATTGAACTAATCCTGGTCCACTCCTTACACTTCCTTCGCAGTCCTATTTAAGTGGCTGTGCAATCTGAAATATGGCTCCTGGGGGCTGCAGTGAGGCCTCAGGCCACTGCGGCTCAAATAAGCCGCTTCTGCTGGCAGCCAGCTCCCACAGACCCTGTGTGTGTGCCAGGAGCCTGCAGGCACATCCCAGGGAGGGTAGCTTTTCCCTCTCTTTACCCAAAAAAAGAAATTTCTTACATGTTGTCTTAACAGGTTGCTGCAAAATAAACAACAGGGAGGGAGAAGGAAATGGATGGTTGTCGGTAAATAGTGGTACAGTGACCAGCAGTTTGCAGGGAGCTGGTGGGGAAGGACTTTCCCACCTCAGCAGCTAAGACCGCGGTATTCACTGGGAGCCCAGGGAAGGAGCACGGAGTCAGCACAGTGAAGACCGCCAGAGCACACAGCAAGGCCCAGAATGTTGCCTGTACAGATAAAACGGCGTCCCGCGGTGTGTACGCCATCCCAAGAACCAAGCCAAGGATGTCTGTCTTTGATGAGTCTTCCCCGACCTGGGGCCAGGTTGATTCCATTTGAAATGAGCTCAGGCCTCAGTGCCGGGACGGACGGCAACCTGCTCTGCCTCTTGCCGAAGCTAATAGTTATGTGCTCATAGACACTGGGTCCCCGGGGGTTCACCCCCTGCTTTTGGAGAAAGGTTTTTATTGCCTTATCTAATATGATGCTGATTCCTTTTAAAAACATGCTGTTGACTAGATGCTGCAGAGGTGAACTAGGCAGAGTCCTGTCAAGAGGGAGGGGGCCCATGCATGGGAATCTTTGTCACCAGCGATTAAAGAGAAGGGAAGAGGGGGTGACCCAGGAGGAAACTGAAACATGGGGGAGAGGGTGGGAAAGTAAGCAGATCTCTCAGGAACGTCCCCAGTGTGCCTAGCTCGGTGCCTGGCACCTTCCTTATATCTTTCATTTCATCTCCAACCCAGCCCTCTGAACTGGATATTTTTATCTTCATCTTACAGATGAAGAAATTGATCTCAGAGGGGTTAAGTAACTTGCAGTGACGCAGAGCTAAGAAGAAAAGATGAAGATCCAGAGAGATCATGGTGGAAATAAAAATGGTGCTATGGAAGGAAGGAAAAATGCTTGTTTGGAGATATTTGATAGAAGGATGCTACTGCTCTTATGTGGGCAAGAAATTAGGGCTTAAGGGGCGCCTGGGTGGCTCAGATGGTTAAACATCTGCCTTCAGCTCAGGTCATGATCCCGGGCTCCTGGGATCAGTCCCACACCGGGCTCCTTGCTTGGCGGGAAGCCTGCTTCTCCCTCTACTGTTCCCCCTGCTTGTGCTCTCTCGCTCTCTCTGTCAAATAAATAAATAAATAAAATCTTTAAAAAAACCGGATTATTAAAAAAGAAAAGAAAGAAAGAAAGAAGGCCTTAAAATCTAGCCATCCACTAAGGTGCCCAATCTCTCTTTGGCTTCAATAGGGCAATGCAGCTTCCTACATCTAGGTGGGCCAGTCTATACAAGCAAACCTAAGAGCCCTTTGTTTATCAATCTAAAACACCTGAACGTCTAGGAAGGGCGAGCGCAGGAGCTGAGGTGAGACACTGGTCCTTTGCTCTCCCGAGAGTGATCTTTGCTGATACGTGCCCCTTTGTGCCATCCTCACGTAGGTATGACTTCATCGAGATTCGGGATGGGGACAGTGAATCCGCAGACCTCCTGGGAAAGCACTGTGGGAACATCGCCCCACCCACCATCATCTCCTCGGGCTCCGTGCTCTACATCAAGTTCACCTCCGACTACGCCCGGCAGGGGGCAGGCTTCTCCCTGCGCTATGAGATCTTCAAGACAGGTCAGTGGGGTGATGGGTGGAGAGCAGGGTGCTGGGTGCCCCCAAGGAGACCCACCGCTGCCATCGGTGTGTCGCCGTGGGGCGCTGTCCAAGGGAACTGTGTGATGGTTATATGTGCGTAGATGGAGCCCAGTGAGACAGACGGGAAGGGTTACAAAAGTTGTTGGAGTTGGAAGAGAGACTCACGGTGACCCTGGACACAGCCTGAGATGAAAAAGCCGGTTTAACTTATGATCCAACTTGAGAGGGCGCCTTGCATGGTTAGTGCTGGGTGCTGCCCGCCAGGCAGACAGGCATTGTTTGTGGCACTGAAAGAGGAAGGAGCACCAATTAAATAGAGCAACAATTCTTTTTGTTTTTTTTTTAAGATTTTATTTATTTATTTGACAGAGAGAGAGACAGCGAGAGAGGGAACACAAGCAGGGGGAGTGGGAGAGGGAGAAGCAGGCTTCCCGCAGAGCAGGGAGCCCGAGGCAGGGTTCGAGCCCCCTAGAGCAACACTTTTGAAAAGAATTCGATTTTTGTGTGTTTTTAAAAATCACAATAATCTTCATGGGAAAAAAAGCAAAACTTGGTCGAACTTCCTCCTAATTACTTCATGGTTTAATGTTGCCTTTATCTGGAATTTCATGGGCAGAAGGACATAATCTTTTCAGTGTTTAGAGTCTCTAAAAGATCTTACCAGTGGGGTCATATAGTAGCTTTTAAATTCACATGTGGCTTGTCAGAATTCCCCTCACTGACCCATTTTACCTTTTCCACCTGTTGACCCCCTACTTCCTAAATGCCAGGATAACCGCCTCCTGAGAAGCAATCAAAAAGATAGAAAAAGAGACAGAGAACACTGCACTTCTTTTAAGGTGATTGCCCGCTTTCCGTTAGGCCCCCCTTTGATTACTTTAGGCTCTGAGAACATGGCCCCATCCTTATTTCCATAACTGGATTGATCTAACTTTTATTCACAAATTGCTGGTTCAGTATCTGCACTGACATGCTCCAAGCAGCATGCCCTTCCCTCCAGGGTGAGAGCTCATTATCTTGAGGCTAAGCGAGGTACACCCTCCAGGTCTCCCCTCACCCCCAGCCTGCTCCCCCACCTCACAGGCTCCCACCCCATCTACCAGTGCAGCCCCTCCGAGCCTGTGTTTTACAACTCGTGGACGGAGTCTGGCGCAAGGGGAGGCTGTCCGCCTTGTCATCGAGAGGCCCAAGTCCGGCGCCTGTTGAGTTCAGTGTAAGGGGACCTATTCATATATATTTTCTTTTCACTAAACAGTTCTTGAAAGGAAGTGGTAGCTGCTGAAAGCACTTTTTATATCCACTCTGTCTAAATATTTGTCAGATTTGTCTGCCTGAGAGCAAGAATGTAGAATCCAATGAAGGGGCGGGCCGGGGGAACTGTGTCAAGCCATCATCGAGCCAGAGTGGGAGCACAGACTGTCCCGGGGCACAAGTCCCAAGAAGGTCTGTCTGTCATGGGTCATCACGCTCCCAGCCACATGAGATCATAGGGACCGACAATCTGTGTGTCCAGTGTCCCAGGGGCTGTTGTGAGGCTCCTGAATGCCTCGATCCATAGTCCCTAGAGTCCTGCGCAAGATTCCAATCAGTCAGTCCACCAGCTTAGCTGGAACATTCATCATACCCTCTTCGGCTGGGGAGCAATGAGGAGAAAGAAGATAGAAAGGAATAAAACAGGATGTTTGCTCTCTTCTAGTGAGCAAACAGGTATGTAAACCCTCACACGTAACAGACGCGCAGTGGATGTCGTTGGATGAACATAGGTAAATAGCTACGTAAATTGAGAGGAAAACGATAATATGAGGCAGTAGGAGTCAGCACTGAGTAAGAGTGCGATTAACGTGCTCTGCTTATGAAAACGAGGGCTCCATTGAGTGGCTTGGCAAGCGGGGCATCTGGGAGGTCAATTCGATAGCCAGGTCCCCAGTGCTAACGCCATCACTCAGCAACCCTATGCTGACAGGAAAAGGAAAGCAGCTCTAAGCAAGGTCTTCCGGGGAGCTGGCCCAGCGAAGTCTCAGCAAGGGTGAGCAGGACCATTAAAGCTCATCTCTGTTTCAGGCTTCTGGACTTAGTATTTCCCAAAGGATGGTGCCATATTCTCCAGAAAGCCGCACTAGGAGTGAATGTGAACCCTATCCATGATGCACATTGGAAGGGATGAGGTTAAAAGTTAAGACGCCCAGGAGGGTAGCAGAACAGAGCACTACTATTTTGAGACCGCTAGTCTGTGGATGCCTAGACGCAAGAACGCCAGCCCATGGCAGGTGGCTTGGGCGTGGAGCAATGGGGCAGCCCACTTCAAGGACCAGGATGGCCTAAAGAAGGAGGAGAGAGATTCCTGCAGTGGGAGATAGCCCCACCGACAACAGTCAAATCTCTGGGGGACCATAAGAGAGAAAATGAGAACCCAGTGGTCTTCTTGGGGGCCACTGTCTCCTCCCATCATGCCTGCCTGAGAGAACAGCTCTTGGCATGAAAATCAACCCTGTATACAACACATACGTGTGCGGGCTACAAAATTCAAAGCTGAGAAGTCTAGGAGGATGAGCATTCCTCCAGGTGCCATGCCCTCCCTGCCCCCACATTTTCACTGTCGGAGTCCTGAAAGAAAATACACAAAGTTTACATCATCCACAGAACATGAAAGAAATGCGTGAACATGCTGAAGAAATCCAAACAAACACAGCTATGTTTGCTAGTCAGATTCATGAAGAGAAAGAAGGGGGGGCTGTAAACATAGACACACAAAATAACCATACCGAGGACCGTGGAAGCCTGCGACTGCACATTGCCCTGGCCAGGCTCAGCTGCAGAATTCTACTGACAGATGCAAACCCGCAGCTCAGGTACAGACAGGGGGCATGTGGCTAGAGTGGGAGGTTCCTGTCTGCCCTGAATGAAGTGGTTTATAAAAGAGTCGATGTAATACCAGACTGTCCACATATAAAAGAGCAAACCAAAACAGCTCTCACACTTAAAGGATCTCAGATTGTCCAATCATGAGCATAATAGAGAAAGGAATTTTAAAATAACTTTAAAAGTAACACTGGATGCTGAATCAGTGGAAAACGTGTTTTTTTTTGTTTGTTCATTTTCTGATACTCTTTTGACCAAAGTTCAAGATCAAGTTTTCTTTTCCGGTATCCAGTGACATTTCAGAAACTGAAAGCCCTGGGGTCATTCACAGATAGAGAAAGCTTAGAGAGGGCCCCTTACTCCTCCCTGAACTGAATTCACTTTTCAAGGTCAGGCCAAGCTCCATTGGGATAAATCCACCATGTTTTAAATAGCTTTATGCATGCAGATTCTTCTTTCGCTTGCAGAGTTATTGTAACATTGACGGTGGAAAAACATGGAGTGGGCATTTTTCACACCAGAGTCCTTTGGTACAAAATCATTCACTGCAGCCCAAATCCCCCAGCTTGCGTGGACAGTCTTAGCATTGAGTGAACTGGAGTATTTGTTGACTGAGCTTTTTTTTTTTTAACCTTCAATTCTTTTAACACATGGCAGAAAAGGATCTTGGATGAGCTAGAAGTCTACAAGACTCCACTTTTGTCCCAAGAGGGTCCCCTCTTCTGAGCTCTCCTCTCCACAGTTACTATTCGGCTTCCTGCTTTCTGACACTTTGCCCACAGTCCAAACTGTGAGTGGCATGATTACAGATGAAGGCACCACTGTAATGGACAAGTTTGATTATTCGGCACAGAAAGGATAAAACTGGTTTTCTTCCTTGTTTAAAATAAGCCAGAGGATATACCCACGTATAACCATGTGGCAGAGAGGGATACACACTCTTTTTGGTGGCTTCTGTTTGTTTGATTTGCCTTAAGAATATCATATTGAGGGGCACCTGGGTGGCTCAGTCGTTAAGCGTCTGCCTTCGGCTCGGGTCATGGTCCCAGGGTCCTGGGGTCGAGCCCCGCATCGGGCTCCCTGCTCAACGGGAAGCCTGCTTCTCCCTCTCCCATTCCCCCTGCTTGTGTTCTTGCTCTCGCTATCTCTCTCTCTGTCAAATAAATAAATAAAATCTTTAAAAAAAAAAAAAAAGAATATCATACTGAAAATCTCTGACCACTCAAGTGCAGGACCTCAGAACCCTGGAAACTGTGGAAAAATCGCACAGGCTTCAGACGTCTCTCGGGCTTACTGGGTGTCCATGGTGGAAAACTTTGTCCCCCGTGGACGGGAGGAACCAAAGAAAGATTCCACCAAAAATTCCCCACCCCCGGGGGGATGGGGATTCCGCTGGCCTTGAAAGGGAATGACAAGAGAGCAAACCCGAGGAGGGAATGTCAGGATGCCTTTTCTAGCTCTGAAAGCAAGTCGTGGAGAGAGAGTTAATTTCCTCTGGCTAAGTGACCCACATGGAGGAGGCCGCACAAAGGCAGTACACACTAACCTTTTCAAGATTCCTCTCAGCCCCCCAGACACCTGCCAGCTGGCTTGGCTTTACCCAAGCGCCTCATCCTGGACCCTCGAGGAGGCCCTCCAGAGTGTGGGGTTAGACAGTAAACAAAGCTGGGGGCTCGGTGGTAAACAAACTGGGGAAAGGCCGTCCCCGCTCAGCCCTCTGGCCCTGGCTGCCCACGGGGCTGCCCTGCCCCTGCCGGAGTGCAGAGCCTCCAGGATGCAGATGTGCTTAGGGAGTGTTCAGAATCCTGAAAAGGTTAGTTCTCACCCCAGCTGTCGCGGGTCCCCACGCTGCCAGGGCAGAGCGCTGGTTGCTGGTGGGAAGGGCAGAGGGGACGGATGGGCAGGTAGGGATGTTGGAATTTCCCGTCTGATGCTAAAGGAAGTTGCAGGCCCCCTTGTCCCACTTATTTGCATGGCACCTTTTCCAAGTCAGACCTGTGCACTTCCCAGAGAGCCATCGTCAATAAAGAGCCCCATGGAGGGACCTGCTCCAGGAGCCGCCGATGAACACATCGCTGCAGGCAAAGATCTGTGTATTGACATCACACAGTTCTATTTCAGCGGGATCCCCAGAGGACACTTCCTGCCAGTAAACACCTGGTTTATCGAGTATTTCTTTTCTTTCTTTTTTTTTTTTTTAATTCATGAGAGACAGAGCGAGAGAGAAAGGCAGAGGGAGAAACAGGCTCCCAAGGAGCAGGGAGCCCGATGCGGGACTCGATCCCAGGACCCTGAGATCATGACCTGAGCCGAAGGCAGATGCTTAACCATCTGAGCCACCCAGGCGCCCTATCGAGTATTTCTGTATTTTTTCTTCATGCTTAGAGTGCCTATTATCCTCCTCATGAATCCTGCTACCTTTTTTTAATTTTAAAATCAGAACGTAGTGAAATCAGTTGTGGTTGTCTGGCCTTCACATCCGCAGCATTGACTGGTATCACCTCTGGCCCGGGGCTGCTCCGTGGGCCCGTGGCCTGGGCTGCAGTGTCCCTGGACTGGCCTGAGGCCCGCCCTGGGTGAAAACCCATGAGGGCCCTTTTAATGTGACTCCACCTAGAGGCATTCGCAGATCTGGTGGCTATAATCCTCTTAGAGCTCCCACTGCCGTCCAAGCCCGCACAGGGATGCGAATGTGTGCCGCATTTAATAGGAACGCCTCCCCGAGTCCCAAGAAAGCAGCCACAAGAGCTTTGGAGAGAAACAAGGCCATCCCCACCACAAAGGGACCAGAAGCCTTCCAAATGTTAATATACTGCCGCATTTTTTTCAAACTTGCTGCTGGAGCGGCCTTTAACATCCCCAACGCCCTGCTGTGATCCACCAGCTACAAAAGTTGATTGTTAATTGTCTGGCCACTACAGAGCAGCTCGTTTTAATATAGTCATGACATGAATGAGACCCAAGCTCCCCTTTGCCCCTCCCCTGAGGCACCTTGGATCTTGGAGGGAGAAGGGGGCACTTAGTTGGCTCTGGTACAATAGGGGCTAGTGTTGAGGTCAGCAATAAATAAGGGGTAACATTGTTTTCCCTGCTGGCAATCAGCAAGCCTTCCTTAAGGATTGAAATAACTTACATTTCTGGAGCAAGCAGCTGAGTAATTGAGAAAGAAGACTCTGTTCCTCTTTTCAAGAGAATCTCTCTCTTTCTCCCTTTCTCTCTCTCTCTGAATCTCACACACACACTTCTTTCTGACCCCCCTCTACTCCCCAACTCCTCCATTGCTGCTCATCCTCTGTTATGTAGAGCACGCCATCTCTCCTCCCCTAATTTCTCTCCTAAAGGGAGTCTGGCTTAAAGGCTTGAGATGTGGATGTGAAGAGTATATTGCTTCAAGGGCCACTCCAGTGGAAACAAAAACCTTATGAGGAGGGGGATCGGGGCTCAAACACTTAACTAACCCGTGTGACAGAGGCAGCAAAGAAAGGCATCTTCTTCTCTTTCCGTAATGCTACAGTTCTCTTTTACACACAGGCTCCGAAGATTGTTCCAAAAACTTCACAAGCCCCAATGGGACCATTGAGTCCCCTGGATTTCCCGAGAAGTACCCACACAACTTGGACTGCACCTTTACCATCCTGGCCAAACCCAAGATGGAGATCATCCTGCAGTTCCTGACCTTTGACCTGGAGCACGACCCTTTGCAGGTGGGAGAAGGAGACTGCAAATACGATTGGCTGGACATCTGGGACGGCATTCCGCATGGTGAGTGATGTCGCAGTCACGAGGCCCTTCTCAGTAGCTTCATCTTTGCCTATGGATTGCTTTGGTAACGATAAAAAGAGAGAACAAAGACTTCAAAGCTCCTTAGGGTTTGTGTATGACCCATGATGACTTTCTTTCTTATTCTTCACCAAGGATGATTTCAGAGAAATTGCAGAAAGGCAGTTTCCTTTCTTGGAAATATTTCTTTGGAGAAGGATAGGAGGAGACTGAGTAGATACTTGGGTGAAGATGAGAAAGCCTATGGGTAATGTTCTTTTCTGCCCCAGGTTGTCAGGATTTCCATGGAAAGTGACTCCGTGACCGCCGTCTCCGCCCAAATAGGATGCTAGAGCCAGACTAAGTCTGGTTCCTGGGTCTGCTATAAGGCAGCTCTGCAATCCTGGGCAGCTCACTTAAACCCTGTGTCCTATCCGTATAAATAAGCTGCTTTCATCATCATTATTATTACTCTGACTTTACTATTATTAGAACAATCATAGATGTCAAAAAGGTGTATCACCCAAGGCCCAGTGGAACTGGTACTTCTCAGGTGGAGACCAGCGTAGGTCTTTATAGTCAGTATTGGTGAGAAAACCAATCGTTCACTTTTGTAGTCAGCCTCAGCGTTTTGCTCTGTGAGGGAGGCTTGATGACTAAGCAGTTTCATTTCCTGAGAAGAGCATAAGACTAAGTCCGAAAACTTGGGTGTGAGTCTCAGCTCTGTTATTTCCTAGCCGTATGAACGTGGAACAGTCATGTGACCCTCCCGAACCTCAGTTCATTCTTCTGTAAGACGGGCATTATCATGATAGCTTTCCCGCCCGTCCCCAGAACAGAGCGAGAGAAGAAAATGAGGCCAGGTCAGGGAAAACACAGTTGCCCCTTGAACAGGGAAAAAAGTACAGTTGCCCCTTCAACAACGCGGGGATTAAGAGGGCCAGTTGCCCATGCAGTCGAAAATCCACACGTGATTTCTGACTCCCCAAAACTTAACTACTAATAGCCTACTGTTGACCGGAAGCCTGACCAATAGTATAAATAGTCCATGAACACATATTCCGTATGTTATATGTATTATATACTGTATTCTTACAATAAAATAACCTCAAGAAAAGAAAATGGTATTAAGAAAATCATAAGGAAGAGAAAATACATTTACAGTACTGTATTTGTCAAAAAAAAAAAATCCATGTGTAAGTAGGTCCATGCACTTCAAACCTGTGTTGTTCAGGGGTCAACTGTACTTTTTAATGTACAGGAAAAATGTTAGACATTGTTCTTAAAACCTACCTTTGGTCGTTCTTTTATGCCAAGGCATACCCGAAGGGTGCTCTGTGGAGCAACTTGGTGATTGTGGCAAAGGGTGAATGTATTGAAAATGGTGTTTGACATTTCCATTTCTACTGACCTGCCTTTGTCCTGCCTGTCCAGTTGGCCCTCTCATTGGCAAGTACTGTGGGACCAAAACACCCTCTGAACTCCGCTCGTCGACAGGGATCCTCTCCCTGACCTTTCACACGGACATGGCGGTGGCCAAGGATGGCTTCTCTGCACGCTACTACCTGGTTCACCAAGAGCCACCAGAGAGTGAGTTGGCGAGTTGGGAACCTCTGTCGTGTCCTTCCATCAGGGCTGTGAGATGTACGGTGGAAAGAGGCTGGCCTTTGGGAGGAGAGGGAAATTCTCCAGAATTCTTAGTAACCTCTGAATTCCGGGAATGGGGGCTATATCCTCTTGCTAGGCAGAGATTAATAAGAGTCGAACCCATGTGGGCCAAGTACTCATTTCTCTAGAAAGTAAGTATGTGCACCAAGAATTAGTTATTCCCCGGGTAAGTCACAGGACCATCTCCCACTTCAGTTTTCTCATCTGTGAATGAAAGAGAGGTGAGTTAGGATATCTACATAGAGTCCCCACCCTGGGCTAACATTTTTTGAGTCTTCTCTCCCTCTCTAAGCCTCAGCGGCCATTGTCAGAAAACTGAGCAATTTGTAAACCTCCTTCATATATGTATTTTACATTAAACATCTCTGGCCCTGGATAGAGTTTCTCTCACTAGACTGGTATATGCTTGGACTCCCACGTCATGCTTCAGTATACATAGTTTCCAAGCTTCTACCATGTGCCAGGTGCTGTGCAAAGCCTAAAGTGTAGCTCCGACCCCAGCTGTCCTGGAAATGCCCATCTAGACCTTGAGTCTCCTGCTTCCATCCACATCTACTCTGAACTACATCTTCAGATCAGCTCCTCCAGGACACATGCTTCAGATGTGCTGCCATTTATACTTAGAGACCCTAGTGAAAACTTTAAGTCCCAAAGAAATACTTTAGGGAGGATTGGAGCTGGGGAAATCTTGCCATGGTTATAGACAGCTTACCATGTGCATACCCACAGACATGGCAGCCTGGCCTACTGGAAAGGCGATGGGTCTTGTTCTGGGTTTTGCTTTTGTTCTTCTTCAAAGAGCTCATGAAGATTGGGTGACAGGAAAACAGTATTGCACATTTGCACCAAGTGCTGCAAATGGCCAGCGCAGTCACGGAGCTCAAGAATGGGTTTGATACCCGAAAAAATTGCTAGTCTCTGTCAGACACCTGCACACGCAGGTACTGACCAGTGTGTCTGCAGTATCCATGGGAAGGACAGCAGTTGAACTAATGGTGCGTAGCCAGAGTCAGTGACTTCCGGGTCCATTTGCCGAGGCAGGTGGCACAGGGGAAGAGAGTGATGTGCCCGTGCTCAGGGAGAGATGTCCCAAAGACGGGTATTCACTGCTCTGTAATGTCAGTCTTCTGTGCCAGAACTCGAGACAGTTGAGTGAAAGAGAGAAGCAGAAGTGCCTCCTGGGTGTTTATGAAGAAGAAAGCAGGCTTCCCACGATGTATCAGCCCACCCAGATTGCCACGAGTCTATCATACATTTACCTGTATTTCAATAACGGTGCATCTGGCGTGCGTCAGCATCCGTAGCCTGCAGCACCAACAATTCTATGCTTTAGATTGTATTTTTAATTTGTATGATGATTCTTATTTACCCACAGCCTGACTTCTTTTAGGTCCAATTTAGTTTCTTTCAGACCCAGAGGGGTTATCAAGCTCTATGACTTGGCAGAGTTGTTTTCAAAATGTGAGTGTATAATTAGGTCTTTAAGATGAGGGAGTTCTGCAAGGACTTGTCCCTAGAAGGCAGCAACATTTTGGGGGTACCAGGAGTTTGAGGTTAAGAGACATAACTCTGCCCTTGACCCTCTCCCGTCCCCAGACTTCCAGTGCAATGTGCCTCTGGGAATGGAATCTGGCCGGATTGCTAATGAACAGATTAGTGCCTCATCTACCTACTCTGATGAAAGGTGGACACCTCAACAAAGCCGGCTGCATGGCGATGACAATGGCTGGACCCCCAACTTGGATTCCAGCAAGGAGTACCTCCAGGTACTTACTCCAATACCAGAGGGTGTGCCGAGTGTGAGTGTACCGGTGGGCGAGGGAGGTGGCTCGGCTGGAGTGGACAGAGGACACAAAGAAAATAAACACAGCATACTCGAGAGCTCCATTCATTCATCCATCCAAACACCCACATGTACCAGGCACAAATAGACTCAGCCAGGCGCCGTGCTAACTGCTGGGATAAAATGATGATAAGACAGATACTGCCACCCCTTGTGAAGATTACCAGGCCTTGGAGAAGTTGTTTGGCCTGGGTGCTGTTTGCCTCTTAGTATAGATATCCAAGGAACATTCTATAAACAGTTCCAGATCTTCCTCATTTTTGGCACAGGGAGGCATCAGAGACTTGGTCGGGGGAGGGCTTTTTCCTGAGGGCAGACTTGTTGAGTTGCTAGCTGAGCATGGCAGCTTCTCATGATCTTTGCTGTTTGGAGGGAGCCCTGCCAGGAAGGTTTTTCACATAGCTATCAGAAGAACACATGGGAAAATGTCACTACCGGGAACGAAGCTCTAGTTGCCCAGATGCTCTGCAGCGTCTATTCAGACTATTGTTTGCTTTCCTTCTGAATAAGACTTGCAGTGTATGTTGAATAACCCCCCCTAAAACTATAGACTGGTCCGGTTCTCATCTCCGGGGAGGAGCGAGCTGCTAGGTCCACGCTAGGGCAGTGACTGCTTTTATGACACACACCGGACAGCCTTGTGACCCATTGACAAGCCGGTCCTAGTTCTGATGTGACCCGATGACCTCTGCTCCGAGAAGGACATGGTAGAGCAGACAACAGGACAGGGACAAGTACCACGTGGAAACTTCCCGGGAGTCCACAGAGGTCCTAACAGCACAACCCTAAGGCCATTTGTCACTATCTCTTCTCTGCTGCTCCCAAAACCCTTCTCATCCTTCCTGCAAAGCTTCCAGAACGTTCTCTTTTATAATCAGTGTTCCACAGATTCTACTTCTTATTTTTGGTCCTCAACCCTAAGCTTTCTCGTATGGCCTCCAGCTGTTTATCGTGTGCATATACAGTACTGCATGCTTCTTTTGAATTGCGTAATACGCCGAGCACATATCAAGTACCAATAAATGCTTCCTGAATCAAATTTGGCCAGTGAGCGCTGGCTAAATTTTGATCACACGGAGGTTGCCGTTAAGAAACACTGCGGCCAGCAAAGGAATGACATCCAGCAATTTCCAAATGGGTTTGGTGTTGTGGGAAGAGAGGTGCCTTAAAATGTGGGTCATCTTCCTCATCGAGCCAAAGGTTGGGATTTGGTGCATAAGCCTAATTGCTTGGGTAGACTCTGGATGCCCTTTGACCCTTTAGTGACCTGAGGGACTAAATACACAATGGAGTGAGGGACCGAGCGGAGGGGAGGCGAGGCGAGGGAGGCAGCCCCGAGCTGAGACATTGCAACTAGGGCATCATAAGTGAATTGGCTTGGACTGGACTGGAGTGGGGTGGAGTGGATTTAGCCATTGTTTCTTTAAACAGCATCTGCTTTTACTATGCAGGGCAGGCTGTAGTTCAAAAAGAAGAGGTCACAGTTCTAGATGTTCGAGGATCCCTTTAAGATAAACTGAATACTGTCCGTTCAAATTTGCAAAAAAAGAGAAAAAAAGAACAATCATCCAGGTACAATTTGAAAGGTGTCCAATTTAGGGCCAGATAAGTTGAGTTTGACCATCCAATCTGGAATTGCAGACTGGTACTAATCCCTCTGATTCTGGTGGATCACAGACATGAGTCGTAAGCTAAGTACGACAGTTCTGTCCTTGGAAGGAAAAGCAAGAGGTTGCTGCCCTCCTGTCAGGAGCCGTGGGTCCCTTATTCCTCCTCCCCTCTTCCTCAGGTGGACCTGCGCTTTCTAACCATGCTCACGGCCATTGCAACACAGGGAGCGATTTCCAGGGAAACGCAGAATGGCTACTATGTCAAATCCTACAAGCTGGAGGTCAGCACTAACGGGGAAGACTGGATGGTCTACCGGCATGGCAAAAACCACAAGGTAATCCCATTTCCCTCCCCGCCTCGCAGGCACGTTGGGGTGTTCGGGTGTGCAGGAGTCTGGGGACGAGAGGAGCTGCCAGGCGACCCCACAGAGGGGAGGAGGCCTTGTTCGGTGAGGCTCAAATAATTGATGGAGGCATAGGAGGCGGTGGCCCTGAAAATATTCTCTCTTACACTAAAGCGATTGGAAAACACAGTTTCTCTGACAGCCTGGCTTCTGTGGCGTGTGGCATTGCAGAGAGAGTGAGCGAGCGAGCGAGCGAGCGCGAGCTTGCAGAGTGCTCTCTGACTGCAAATGAGGGAGAAAATGTGTCCCCAGTCCGCGCCTCCCGGTACAGGATTCATTGAGCATTTATGGCCTGAGTCCCTTCCACATGCTGGGTTAACAATCACAAAACCACATGAAACTGTGGTTCAGGAGTTACCGAGGTCTAGAAATGAAAGGGCACAAATCCTGGGAGGAAATCACAATGTCCTGAAGAAGAAAGAGGACAATAAATAATGAGGAGAAATTCAGTTTGTCGGGGATGGGATCTGAACTGGCAATCATGCTTGGCAGCAAGGCATTGAACTCTCCCCGCTGGTGCCCTCAGTGTCTGTGGTCCTCGGAGGTGTGTCCGTGTGGGTGACGTGGGGCTTCTGTTGTACACATGGATGAATGTGGGGCGCTTGGCTTTCGTAGGACACGCGGCATCCTGGCGGTGAGCAGGCCTGCGGCCGGCTCCGCCAATCCTGGTTATGGGGTGCGCCCGGCACATGGGGGGCTCATTGGGAACGGCTGGTGGTCTCGCCCGGGCAGGGGACGATCTCTGTCATGCGCTGGCTCTCCGCTCTGGGAGGACAGTGCCCATCCTTCCCTGAATGGAAGCGGGGACAGGCAAAGGGACTCTCCTCTTTCTGCCGGGGCCCCTGGCCTGTCGAGCTGCGAGTTGTCAAAACGGGACGCATGTGACCAACCCAAGAGAGGCCAGAGATCTTTTCCAAACACGGCCTCCTCGGCTTCTGCCACTGCCCCGAGGTTGCTTGCCCTCGCTGCCGAGACTGGAAATGTTGGACGGAGAAGATGCAGAACTGTGATGTCGGCAATGATTCACTCAGGAAGTGTGAGTTTTTAAAGCAGTGGATTTTTTTTTATTATTATTACTAAAATCGCCATAGTAACATGGCACCATTCATCTGGAAATCACAGCTTCTGGATATTACCAGGTATCTCTCTCTCTCTCTCCCTCTTTCACACACACACACACACACACACACACACACACACACACACAATGTCTTCATTTCACAGACCAAGAAAGTGAGGTATTTAGCAGTTAAAAGACCTCCCCACCTTGACATGGTCAACCAGGTCTGGCTTCTCCTTGACTTCTTTTGTTTCAGTTGCAAATATCGCTCGGAAAGGGCAAGGCTGAGTTGGCCCTGGATGCTCTGGGCAAGGGACTGAGTCCTCACGCCCCTGACGAGCTTGGCGCATGGCAGTATCGTAGCCGATGAGGTTTATCCGAGGCGCGATTATTGCTAATTGAAAACTCATCCCCCTGACACTTTCCCATGCCTTCTCTCCTCACCCACCCTTGTCAGTACGAAACTGGTAGAAGCTGACAGCTCAGCCAGGCAGGCGAGGGCCAGTGCTGAGTAGGAGTGGGTCCTGGGGGAGAAGGAGGAGGCTCACCTGACTGCCTCCCTGTGCAGGCTCAATGACTAAGCAGCGCTGGCCAGAGGGATCCTGTAGCATAAGCTGATTTTAAAAGCACGCAGATGGACTGGGATGCTATTTAAAACACTATTTGTAGGAAATCTGCTTTTGGAAATACCTTAGCACTGCACATTTTGACAGAATGCTGTCCTCCCTGGCTTTATCCCTGGTATTCGTTCTGCAGGGAAGATATTCCTGGGAACTGAATTTAGCTTGCTGGGCTCCTTTGGAATCATTCTCAACTTTTTCATATTGGGTATATCATTCTCTCTCTCTCCCTCTCTTTCACCTCCCCTTCTCACCCTTGGCTAGATTTCTTTCCGCAGGAGCCAAAGGGTAATTTCATTTTTGTTTTGTTGTTGTTTTTGGCTTTTTAGTGAATCAGTCCTGCCCGCATAAAAAGCACTGGGCAGAGGAAAAAACCCTTTCTCTCCCCCATTAGATATTCATTCTCTGACTACCTAGAAGGCGGCAGGAGAACGTAAGGCCTGCCAATTAGGCGTTGGCCCCTCCCCTCGCTGCCTTGCCCCACTGCGGGTGCGGTGGGCGACGAGGGAGACCTGCCCTTCCGCCCCTCCCCTCCGGGGTTGATCTCCGCTCCGGTGGAAATAGTTGAGTGAACCGTGTGGAATAGATTTGTCAGGTCTGCTGCAGTTTGATTTGCTGCCACGAAGGGGAGGTGGCTGAGGAGGGGAGTTGGGGGCAGGGGAGGGGCGGGGAGAGGCTTCGTCTGTGCCGCGTCTATAACGGCCGCCGCTGAGCTGCTCTCTGTAGCCACCGGTGGGTGGGCGCCGTGCCAAGCTAACTGGGGCTAGGTGGTGGGCTTGCAAGCACCATTCAGACAGCAGGACCTGTGAGCAAAGCAGAGCAGAGGTAGAGGCGGCCGCGCGCTCCGCTCTGCGGTGCAGGGGGAGGGTTTGCAGACGCAAATCCGCGCACAGGGTGTGAAGAGGGGATGGTAATGTTTGGGGCAGAAATGTGGGAACTTGATTTCAATTCCCTGGTCACTGTCAACACCAGTGCTATGTACCAAAGACCAGGGAATTGGGGAAATCGGAGAAAAACAAGATTAATGAGTGCTGAAGGTGGTGGGCGATGGCTATGCTGTTTCCTTGCAATACAGGATTTACGCGGTGGACCCAGGCTGGGCCGAGGCAAAGCCTGGGCCTACGGGGGAATGACTTCTTGTGGCCAGGAAGTGAGGAAGACTAAGGAGCTCTTTTCCAGCTTCCCCCAGCCTGTGAGCAGCCTCTTCTTCGTCTCTTTCTACCTAACAGGTCATGGTGAGGTTGCCTCTGACGGAGGCATTTGACTATCGTGGGGGGTATTGCAAGCATCCTCCTGGCAAAACACGGCCCATTTACACAGGCCACACATCCCCAAACCCTTATCCAATTACACATGCCATAAATATGGAACCTATGATTTTCCTATAGGGTGGGCCCTCCTTATGCATATTTATGGCATAACCACAAGGCAGAGCACTTGTCTGGCTGATGGAGCCCATAGCCAGCCCATGTGCTCCCTTAGATTATACAAATTGCTTCACATCTATTTCTTCAGAAACCACAAGCAGAAAACTATTGCTTTTGGTTTCACCAGCCATATTAATAACACCCCTAGCATAGACATGGTGTTGTAAATACAGTATTAGAAGGTTCACGTATGTGTCTATAATTATGGGCACAGTTATGTACACACAAGCCACAGGAAGGGCAGGGAGAAAAATGGCAGTAGCTGGAGGCTCGAGGCCTTGGCCAGGACCCCGCTCACCTCTGAAGACTAGTTCTGTGGGTGTACACTGGATGGGACATGGCCAAGACTAGTGTCAGGATGTCTAGGCAAAAGGCCTTGTCTTCATTTCTCCCTTATTTGGTAAACGTGGGCATCTCCTTGTTGACATAGCCCTGGTTACCTTGCTGTTAGTCACAGTGCTGTTGGCTGTTCTGATGTATTTGGAAGAAATTTGGGCTCAAAGAGAGAGTCTGTGGAGGTGCTAAATATATCTTAATGGCCAGATTGAGGATGGGAGGGTGAGGACAGGGATGAGGTCCAAGAGTTTTCAGAATTACCCTGTAATGAGTGGCAGAAATGTGCTAAATAAGCTCATCCCATTAAGGCAGTGATGGCCTCCAAGGGGATCAGAGAACCTCCAGGTACCACCTCATTGGCTTCAGAATGGAACAGTTTCAAAGACTGGAATTGAAGCTCTTAGAGACAGAGTAATTTGCCCCGGGGACACGGGGAACTGTGGAGTCCCCTTGAAAGGCACCTGGTCACAGGGCTTTGATCTCCAGGAAGATGTTCCCAAAATCTGATCCAGGCCTTGCTGTCATCTCACATCCAGAGGGAAGCCGGCTTCCTAGATCTTCAGTCTAGGGGTCTAGAGGCATGCATTTTCCTGGAGAGCCTCCATCATTGTGGAGACCCAAGGGCAAAGCTGTGCTCGGACAGCATGGATTAGCGTGCCTGGCTCATCAGTTTGGAGTTCGGATTCCTAGAATCCCGAGGATGTAGAGCTGAGAGAAGTTGCTTCGCGTTTGATTTGGCCACATCCCTTCAAAACACATACACACCCCACTTCAAAACATTCTCTGTCCTATATTTATTTTCTAAATTAAAACAAATCACTTTGAAAGCCATTGGAGAATTTAGAACCCTCCTTGAAATTATCAGAGACTTAGGAGGAGAGAGAGCAGTGTCAGAAAACCAAACCCCCCAAGTCAGTCAGCTAACAGAACCATGTGGCGTCTATTTTCAGATCTTCTTAGAGGATGCATCGTGTGACCCTGGAAATTTCTCTTAATAGCTCCGTGCCTCAGTGTTTCCGCCTCTGCCCAAACAGAATGGTGCTCTAGCTTGTGTTGGCAGGGCACCTTGGGATCTGTAGATGGAAGGCTCTCTGCAGATATAATTAATGTATTAGACCCACAAAGCTCTTCTTGAGCAGAAGCAAGTTATCAATTTAAAAAGTAACAAGGCCCCATGGGATATTTATCTGCCTCTTTTAAAATCATAGGTCTGGAAGGGACCTGATAAGTCATCCAGACCTCTCTCTGCATCTGATGGGTCCTGCACTCAAGCTGCCTCAGATAAACATTACCCTTCTCAGTTTCATTCTTCTGTTAGGGATGCAATTATTCCTCCAATTAATAACTTAGAGTTTCCAAAAAGTACTGTGTTTTTGTTTTTGTTTTACCTCCTGGTGGATGACTGGTTTTCCCCTATCCTTTTCACTGCAGTTTAGTTGACTGTATATAAGATTACAACAGTGACTCAAGCTGTCAGCTGGGAATGGGCATCAGACTTCAGAAGTCATACATCTGATTGCATCATCGAACTGGGGTTCTATATATTCCAAAGAGAGCCAATGCCCTTTTGAAATTCATATCCCCCAGTTTTTCTGCCCCCCTCAGTTATAACTAAGAAGAATCCAGGGCCCTAGGTAATTAAGTTTGTCCCTTATCCATTTGCCATGGGATGAGCTCAGACCTTTAGCCTCTCCACTTAGGAAGCCCAAGGGAAAATGTCATTATACATAAGCTTGGAACCTTTTCTCTCTCAGGCTCCCATGGCTGGCTTCACCCAACTCCCATGGGTGCCAAATCGTCTCTGGGAGCTGAGGCCAGCCTCCCTGGCGCTACGGCCTCGATGCCAAGTTCCCAGTGCTTTCCATCTCACGGCTGTGCACTGAGGCTAGTAGGACAGGGCAAGTGAGCAGGGGATGTCGAAGGGCACAGTGATCTTGCTTGGGCTGCAAACACTCTCTTTGCCCTTACTCCAGCATTCCTAGATGAGCCCTGGGGTGAACACATCACCATTTCCCTGCTCTGTGATTGGCTGAGATTGCACCAAAGAGGAATGCAGATGGCAGATAGGCTCAGGAACCTTACTCCCCGTACCCTTCTGCTCCCCCTTCTGCCCACCTGCAAGTTAGAGGTACCTTCTCAAAAAATGTGACAATGTCACAAGAGGTTTTCAGTATGGAGAACCCTGCCGACCCGGTGAGAACATCTGTGTTTCTCCCCCGACCTTTACAGAAGGACATTGGCCATTCCCTTCCAGTGCTCTGATGTCCCATCTCTCCTCCAGCCCCGAATCCCTGAGCTTCCCTCCCCTCTCCTCCTCTGCTCTCCTCCCTGGTGCTTTCCTGTCTCCAGTCCCGAAACCCTAATCCTGTTAGTATGCTATGTTCCAGGGCTCTACGTCTCAATGGGGGTAACATAATCCCGCAGTAAATCTAACAGGTCCCACAAGGCACACACAGATGGGATGTGCACATCCCACCCATCTCCACCGGCCTCCCCCGCCCTACACCCCATGACACGTTCCTGCTCCTGTCTCCTCCGCATCAGCAGAACTGCTTGATGACAAAAACAGCCCTCAGTAAAGGGGCAGGAGACAGGAGGGCATCATGGTCAGAAATGAGCATTTGGTGGTTAGGGAACTTTCTCTGCCCTACCCCCATTCTCACCCTCCCTTAAGTTCCCCCCCACTGCTCTCTCTCATATATGTATATGTATACACATATATATGAGACACAGCCCTTCTGACTCTGTGTCTGGCTAAGTTCCCACATCCACTAGAATGAAAGCAGCTTTAAAAAAATTTTTTTATAGTCTTTAAGGAGGAGTTTTAAGGGAGAAATGTCAGGGCCATGATTTACAAAAAAGAAAAAAAAAATGTCCATTACCTTAACATCATTTTCCCCGTGTGCAACGCACCCCTACCCTGCCCCCCACCCCTTGCCTGTTTGGTGCAACAAATTAATTAAACAGGATGGCGTCCATTGATTAATAATTTAGTTTTATGTATGGACGCAATAGCTGGTTTTAGAGAAAATGCCGGGGAAGGGGGTGGGGGAGAGAGGACAGGCATTTGGTTCTGCAATAAGGATGAGTCAGTTCAATTGTT